TTCAAGAGCACAATAATTCTCTTCAAGACTATAGCCACCACTCAAGAAGACAATTGTAATGTCATGCAGAATCTTTAGGGACCACTGTATTAAATATATCAATGATTTATGTAGAATTGTATTCTATTCCCCCAGGAACTAAAAACTGTGATAGACACATATGCAAATATAAATTTGGTAACAGTGCAAGGCTATACCCATAAGACTGATGGGTGAATCTTAGCATGTTTAGTGAGTGTTTTTTAAACTTTATCTTTTTTATACTTTTTTTCTCTCTGTAATGCTTTTACCTTGAGAATAAAGCTGTATGTGGTCACTTGTAACAAGTGGCAATATACTTGTCATTGTCCTTGGAGAAAAAAAGCATAGCCTAGGTGCTGGCCATTAGGCAGACTGGATTGCAGGGGATGTCATAATGTAAGACTATGGTTGTGAGCCTTAAAACCCCCTACTCAGAAGGGAACAAGGATCTTTACATAAACACAAATGAAGGCAAGAGCCTTAAAATTGAACTGTTCCTGGACTTAGTTGTTTACCCCGAAACTGACACAGTTTAATGCAAAGATATAATTTAGGTTTTCATTAATGTCCTTACCTTCTTTAATAATCATCTCAAGCTCCTCATAAGCCAGTGGTCCCAATAATTCCTTCTCAGGCCTTCTTTACATTACACAATTTTGCTGACAAGTCAGCTTTTGTCAACAAAATAGTGGAAGTGTACACAATTAAATGCTCCTTCTGCTTCTGTAACTCCTCTGCTGTGCTGACATCATAACCGCCCTAAGAAAAGGTGCCACCCTGAGTCTGGACACGGCCTATGGTTGTGAGCCTTAAAACCCCCTCCTCAGAAGGGAACAAGGATCTTTACATAAACACAAATGAAGGCAAGAGCCTTAAAATTGAACTGTTCCTGGACTTAGTTGTTTACCCCGAAACTGACACAGTTTAATGCAAAGATATAATTTAGGTTTTCATTAATGTCCTTACCTTCTTTAATAATCATCTCAAGCTCCTCATAAGCCAGTGGTCCCAATAATTCCTTCTCAGGCCTTCTTTACATTACACAATTTTGCTGACAAGTCAGCTTTTGTCAACAAAATAGTGGAAGTGTACACAATTAAATGCTCCTTCTGCTTCTGTAACTCCTCTGCTGTGCTGACATCATAACCGCCCTAAGAAAAGGTGCCACAATGGGCTTACGTTAGTGTTGATAGACTGACAGTGTCTGTGTAGACTGGGGTGGGGAACCTAAGGTTCAAGGGCTAGATGTGGCCAGGGTTGCCAGGTGTCTGGTTTTCTATCGGACAGTCTGGTATTTGCACCATCTGTCCAGTAGAAAAATTCAGAAAATACCGGACATGTGCAATGTCCGGTATTTTCTGAATTCCCAGCTGGGCACCAGACAGAAGCTTGGTGGGGGCGGGGGTGGGGGAGGCAGTATGAAATAACCTACCCCCATAAATAATGTCTTCATAATCATCTGTAATAGGGCATATGTCATGTCTGTCCTCTGATGTCCCCTCTGTCCAATGAGTGGCAACTTTATGTAAATTTACATTCCCATCACTTACATTAGTTCAGTCTCATGCAGAGAATTTACAATAGTTTTCTCTCTTCTCTTCTCTTCTCTTCTCTTCTCTTCTCTTCTCTTCTCTTCTCTTCTCTTCTCTTCTCTTCTCTTCTCTTCTCTTCTCTTCTCTTCTCTTCTCTTCTCTTCTCTTCTCTTCTCTTCTCTTCTCTTCTCTTCTCTTCTCTTCTCTTCTCTTCTCTTCTCTTCTCTTCTCTTCTCTTCTCTTCTCTTCTCTTCTCTTCTCTTGGCTAGCCTTGCCCCCCCTTCCAGCCAGTCCCTCCTCCCACCCCGCCCATGATCAAGTGTGTCCGTTTCTTTGGCAGGGTCTACCTGGCAACCCTAGGGCTAGGTCTACTATGCAAATGAGACTAAGTGTGGAATATCGCTGAGCCTCATTTGCATACCTAATGAGCCACAATTTTTTTCAGAAGAGGCTCTTGTGCAAGAAGGAGAGTCTACACTGCCCCTTCTTGCACAAAAAAACCCCTCTTGTGCAATGCCGTTACACCTATTACTTGAGAGGAAGAACAGCATTGCGCAATAGAGTTTTTCTTGCGCAAGAAGGGGCAGTCTACACAGCTCATTCTTGCACAAGAGCCTCTTCTGCAAAAATGGTGGCTCGTTAGGTGTGCAAATGAGGCTTGGCGATATTCCCCGCTTAGCCTCATTTGCATATTACTGGCGCAACAACCCACCAGTGTAGACATAGCTTAGATGCGGTCCCCAACTTGCCTGGATCCAATTGCTAAGACTCAGGGCTCTCCCTCTTCCCAGCATTGGGGAGCCCTCCCACCATCCCACTGTGGGGTTGGAGCACACAAAATCTACTAGCCTGGGTCCCCCCTATGCTCTGGTATGGGAAGGAAACGTGGGGAGTGTCTCCTTTTCCACTGACTGCCACATCAGCGAGGGTTTTTTTTTTGTTTTTTTTTTTGCTTCTCACTTGTGTGCAGCCCCTGACTGATTTTTCTATGGGTCTTATTTTTCCCCACCCCTGGCGTAGATGCTGCATTCCTTACATCAGCTCTTGGCTGTCATTCTTGTCGCGATTCATGCCTGCCAGTCCCTGGCTGAGCTCCCTGCTCCCGACTGTGAGGGAGTATAGAGGTAAGGGGCCTCCAGGAGCAGCGAGGCTCCCACTGAGGATCTGTGGGGAAACGGGGAGCCTTGTGCCCATGGAGGGGTGTTAAGTGTCAGATCGCTGTGTGCTGCTGCAGCTGGCTGGGCACCTTCTGCCCCCCAAGTTCACTTTGAGAGGCACGGCAGCTATTTTAGGAGAGCACCCAGCGCCCAGCCCTCCGAGTGCACTGCCCATTAGCGCCTCCGGACCAAGGTGAAGACTGTCCCCATTTTACAGGCAGCAAGACTGAGGCGCGTGGCGCAGCTGCAGGCCGCCCCGCTGGCGGTAGCTAGCGCCCTCTGCGCCCGCCCTGTGCTCCGAGCGGTGCTCGTCCCTCTT